CGGCTTGAACTTGCCGGGTTCGCGTGGCGTTGGTGCCCTTGTTTAACACCTTGGTCTGGAAATTCGAAATATGTTAGATAGGGTACGATATGTTGAGTTCTTGCGCCGAGGAGTGAGGTATCTTACGGAAAGCTCCTGCTTAGGATTAGCAGCAAAGCGAGTGAGGTAAGCTGGCTGGGTCGCATTCACCAGCGAGGCTTTTGATCTCTGAACGTATAAGGCGGGTTAGCAAACATTTCTCTGTAGAGGTACACTTAGCAAGTCAACCCAGGCCTTGACCTACCGAGACTAACTCATGGGTGGACTGAATTCTCTCCCGGAAGTTTTTATAGTCCCCATTTTTAGGGAATGCCTCATTACAGTAGAGAACGGTGTCGGGCGTTCCCTTCTCCGCATCAATTGCATTAACCTAACCAAAGGTTAGTACGGTCACTTCGCAAGACAGTCCAGAACGTTGTGGTCATGTAAGGGTACCTACCAACCAGTCCCAGCTCAGGATATACTTCTTTAGATCAGACATTTCCCTGACCCGCTTCACTTGAGCATGGATTTCTGGCCCTTTGCTCTTTCCCTGCTCGTGGCCCTTGTCTTGCCCACCAACCTTTGGCCTTTCGACCATATTCTGCGGCTCGGCAACCATACCATCGAAAATGTACTTTGCGAGGCGAGCTTTCTCCTCAAAGTCCTTGGGAATATCCCCTGGTACTGGATTAACCGGTCGACTCGTGCGAACCCGAGCCCAGTGACGCAGTGCTAGCGCGTCACTCCAGGATTTCAGGAGATCCTGAGGAAGAGGAGTGAACTCCTTTGGGTCACTGGATTCTGTTCGGCGATTTTCCCTTTCAGCGACCGTCAGGTAGCGTTCAAGGCCACGTAGGAAAGGCTTGGATTGTCCAAGTCTGGCTACCGCTTGGTCGATCAAGCCGCTGTCGTGATGAGTTGCGAACCAACGGTAAACTTGTCGAGCAAAGTTGACCCCAGAGAGAATCCTTCCATCCTGGAGGGAAGGATTATGGAATTGTTGTTGGATGCCATTTGCGATCTCGGCGAAGGATCTCAAACTTTCATCGTCGTTCAAAAGGTTGTCGTAGATGATGTCGATCGTTTTCCAGCACTCGATCTTCTCGTGGTCGGACAACGCGTTGGACATCATGAGTGCTACCAAGCTGAAAGGTGTCGGGTCATTGGCGCCCGGATGAGGTGGCTGAGGAAAGCTCATGGTGAAGACTGTAGTGGGTATGATTGGTCTATGGATAGGGCTTGTCAGTATATAAGACCTGAAGTTCGAGTGCTCAACATTGATAGAAAGCTTGCAGAGAGTTCTAAGAAATGAGAAAGTGATGCTGATGAAAATGACTGAGCAGCAGCGGGGTACCTGCCGACCCCTCACCAAAGATGTCGGTGACGGTAAGGTGAGAAGGTCTGAGGAAGTGAGCTCGAAGTGATTACCGACTACCAGGAGTAGCGGAAACAAAGTCAAGATCTTGATCTTTTGAGGATGGGGTAGACCAGAGGCAGAAGACCGGGATCAGTTCCAAGAGGGACGTGATTGAAAAGAACCTCAAGGCACGGAAAGTCGACGAAGAAAGGGTAGGGGCAAGGAGGGGTCACAAAACAACAGTACTGGCTTCGCTGTCAACAGACCAGCGCCACTACCAGGTGGTGGGGTGGCGTGGAGGCGACCGACAGGCAGGAGACTGGACGAGGTGCAGAGGAAGTAATCACGAGCAGCAAGGAAAGAAGTCGTTGTCGACGTCGATGTAGTCGACAGTCACTGGCAAGGAGAAGCGATCGTTGTACTTACTTGTGATATGTTCTGCCCTACGAGCTTGCTGATCAGTCTCACTATCTCGGCGGTTAAGAAAGTGTTGCTCCTAGATGCAAAAATTCGGTTCAAGTTGGGAAGTTTTGGAGGGAAGTATTTTCAAGAAGGAAGGCTGGAGGTTGGGAATTTGGAAAGCTGAAATATATAGAGTGGGGAAGGGAGGTTTCGAGGCTGTCAACCTGGATGGGACTTTTGGCACCTGAGAACGTAAAGGACGGGAGGTAGCGCACAGGGCAACCGACACTCAGCCAAAGAGATCGCAGGATTTGTTTGGAAGGTCTGGCACTGAACCGTTGGCAGACACTCGGCCATAGAACAGGTGCTAGGCCACTTACGGTCAACTTGTTCTGCTCAAGGTTCTCTAGCAAGGCAGTAGGCGGCTTTTTTTCGACCGGATGAACTCATTCTCCAGCTGCTGAAGTATAACAAGAACGAACGATGAAGGGACGTGTTTTCTCTTCTGTCTTGATTTGCTCAGTACTGGTCCTCGTATCCTTGAAGAGGCACTTGCCCTCTAAATGATACATCCGTGTGTAGAGGTAGATATCATCTTACTCTTTGTACACAGGGCCCGCGTTCCTTCCGTTTGTATATATAGATCCCGCGAATTCGTTCATACTGCAATGCCAGGGTTGAAGATGGAGCGCTGGACGGCAGGGAATTCCCCATAGTGGGATACGATACCAATCAAGCACCGAAATTCGACGTATCTGAGCGTGTTTGAACATATCTCAACGTGTAGGGGAGGGGCAGGGTTGAAGTAACCAAGCTGACAAGGCGGCATACTGATCGGAGAACACCCTGCTTCAGGAGAGCTTTAGCAGCTGATTTTTGACCGCTGGTGAACCTTCAGGCGCATCCAAGAGCCCCTGGCTTCCCAAACACTCTGTTGCTGCCGACCTAGATGTGCCATCCATGTTATTGACTGAAGGATAAGTGAAAGTAGAAACCAATCCGTGACCCGACTGCTGAATCGATGCACGTTCAGCTCTCGATATCAGAAGTGCCAGACCGAGCCAACGTTGTTACTGTGCCATAGACAGATTCGGTGTCGATAGCCCGCACTGAAAAACTTGTTCTTCTCGTTTGGGTCCTCAAAACCTTTACATTCTCGATCGGATGCTCGACCCTACTTGTTATGCATCCCCCAGCAAGTGCCTGCTTGACTCGAAAATCTGTTTTTGATTGATGGCCAACACTGCCGCTTGACCCGTAGTTTGTGCTCGACCGAGTACTGCCGGCTATCCGTCGTAGTCTCTCACGAGCAGTAGCTGATGCTTGAGAACACACGACAGAAGCTCGACGACGATTGCTGCACCGTTGAGTCTTTCAGTAGACAGCAACAAGAAGAGGAAACCGAGAACTGGACCCTGAGAAACAAAGACATGACGCAGAAGGAGGAGAAGAGAAAGTTGAGTCCTGCGACACGGCCACTACCTTAGCTGACTAAAAGCACTCGGCGAGAAAACAAGAGAATTGGCGACGGAGCAAGAACGGCCAAGGGAACCGAACGATGATGGAGAATAAAGACAACGACAACACGACAAACATGCCAGACTACAGACTCTCTTGGAGCTGGCTACTCGACAGTCTTGTTCCGACAAAGACCATTGTTCACGGCGACACCATGGCCTATACAAAAAGGTTGACAAGGACAGCGATCGTGACCGCTACGAGAGCGTACATAGGGGGCAAAACAATAGGCTGGAAGCAGAAAAACACCAAAGAGGGCCCAGGAAAGACAAATGATTGTGGTCTCCTCGCTCGAGGCACCGCAAAATGGACAAGGTTGGCGAGGGCAACAAGGACAGCTCAGGATACTCAGCAGCCGCCGTGACCACTTGTGCCAAACGGTGTCGCAACCGGCCTTGGGGATCATGTCCATCATCTCCCATGTATCAAATCCCCTTTGTTGGTTTGTCGATCCGTAGTCCACACCATAGCAAGTCGCGACAGCCGAGTAAAAAGGGTGATTCCAAAGCACCGATTGATGTCATCTCCATAACCTGACAAGCAAGTAAACCGTAGAGGTAATGAGCTTTGCGGTATCGTGATCATCGTGGTGACTTGCGACGTTTAGCGAGACCTGAGACGGAACCAAGAGCAAGAGAAACAAAACCGATGCAAGTTGCAACAAGCCGGCACTTGCTCACCAGCAACGACAGAGGAAAGACGAGGAAAGAGCACGAAAAATCTCTTGCAAGGAACCGGCAGATCAGACAGGAGTAGCAGACAAAGGCCAATATTGCTCCTGCGTGTTTTGTCCATTGTTCAGCGCTCCTGCTTCTTTCACATGCCTCTACCGAAGTCGGAGGCACAGCTGCCAAGGATTGGTATCATCAGGTGGGCGAAGTGGGAAATTAATCGAGAGCTGCAGGAAAGAGCGACGACTAGTCTGGTTAGTGTAAGGACATGAAGTCCATATGACTTGCCACATCCCCAGAGGCAACCAAGTGGCAACTGAAAGGTGAGTATTATGGAGGCTGCGAAGGCGAGATGTCCGTCGGATGCCTTCATGGAGAGACTACGTTGTTCGTCCCAGTCTTAGCTAGCTGATGAGATGAAGGAAAAAAGAAGAGAGCTGATGTGATGACTTGAGTGTCCAATTCAAATATTGAGGTTCTGGAAAAAACCAGCATGACGCCACTGCCGATTCAGTAGCAGTGCGAAGTGTGTCTTTCTGAATTCCATGCCGTGTCAACATCTGCCGATCAACGTGTGACGTGCAGCAAGTCGTCGGTTGATGCGAGGTATGCATTTGGTTCATGTCGGAGACCAACTTGTCCCCTAGCGGCTTTACTCCGGCCAGTCGAGAGTTATAGACTGAAGCTACGATGTAACCGAACACTGTTGCCACGGAGAAGGGAAACCTTCCATATGCAGGAACAATGTCTACATTCCCTTTTACTCCAGAGTCAACTTTGCAGAATCATCGTGCACTTCCAAGGCCAAGCCCCTAACCAAGTAAACAACAAAGCGCACAATAACCATCATGACCAAAGTAAACTGCCGGGTAAGCGACACCAAGATATTGATCCCAAAATGGAAGCTCGCCAATGCTGACATAATCACCCCCCTCCCCCCCCCCCCCCCCCCCCCCCCGGACTCCCGAACGCTCATTAGATAACATGTCATTTGCCAAGAAAAGTGGTCGCCGATGTTTATCCCATGCATACGACAGATGGCTGGATGCAACACCGTGGACGCCACCACACGGCACGGCACTGCGCCCCTGGAATGCTTGGAGGCTCAACGGGCCCATGTGTTTGGTGGCTGCATTCCGCTTCGCTTCGACGACGTCCCAAGACGCTGGTAAATGAGGCCGCGCGTACACCTCCAGGGAATACCTTCAGGGCCAGGAATCGCATATAAAAAGGGAAGGTAGTACGGTTTTTTCCGAGTGGCGAAGAAAGCTTATTCTGTTACAAGAAAATAGGTACATAGCTTGTTTGATGTGTGAATGCCCCCTTGTTTCTTGGAGTATACATAGTGTACACTACCTATCCATGCAAGAAGTGTGTCGACACCTGCATACACGACTACTACTACACTATCTTTCTGGAATCTCGGTCGCATGTAATTCTTATAGGCATGTGGATAATACAAGGTTCATTATCAACCAATCCAATATGTACCGTTGACGAAGAAGCTGCTGCATATGCAGCTAGCTAGCTAGCTAAGGAGCAAGCTTAAAACGCCTCTAACGAGTGTGTGTGTGTGCAGGCCTTCCCCGATTGCGAAATCCCGTCTCTGTCACGAACCGGAACGGTCTGCAAAGGGAAGATGTAAGCGGCAAGTGATGGCGGTAGGTAAGGTAGTTTACCCTAGTCCCAAACCGCATGACCGCAAACTGCAAACCAAACCATCGATCCGGCGACATGACCCGGCGAGACACCATTAAAGTTCTTACGTGTGACACTACCGCTACGCTCGTCCAAGCGAGACACCACACCACCATTAGACTAGACCCGTCACCCCCCCACCCACCCACCACCTCCGGCTGGCTGTTATAGGCGAGAGTTTAAATGTGACCTTTCTCAAACACAATCCCGCGCCCCTATGTAGTGTATGTAGTGTTATTACAGACAGACGACGAAGACCCTTCTCAGACACATCCGACGGAAGACCAACTATCAAGGACGATCAAGTGGTGCTGCTTGCTTCCAGTCCCTTACTGCTAAATGAAAATCACCGATATCTCCACAGTCGCCCATTCCATTGGGAGAGCTGCGGCTGACTAGGTAGAATCCAATCCCAGCACCTCCATACCCGGGCAGATCACTTCCCTCATCAAGCGGGTGATATCTGTAGTGTACCTAGTGTAGTGTAGTATCAAGGTAGGTAGCCGATAGTCACTAGCAGTAGGTAAGACACGGTAGAGGTAGTAATGAGTG